GAACATTCTTTCTCCCGCTATCCATGTTGCGCTGTGTGCATGTTCTGTTTATTTTCCTTTCAAACTTAAGAGAGGCTGCAGGTCTGCTGATCCCAGGGCCCTGTTCTTTGTAGTGTGTGGATAAATGAGTTAGCCTGATTTCATTGCTGATAAATTGCCACAAGCCTGTATTTTTTCAGTTCCTCAAATTGTGCTTTAAAGTTGACCTAAACTGTTGGCAGGGCAACGAGAGTGCAGGTTTATTCACAGTTAGCTGGATCCTTACCAGCGCTCAAAACATAGGAGGTCTTGTTGTCCTGGGGACAATAAAAATAACACCTGGGGCACAAAGATACATTATCTGGGACAATTTTGGGACAGTAGAGAAATGTATGATTACAAATGTAATTATTACATTCATGCGGGATGGAATATGTATCATTTTAACTGTTTTTTCAAAACATGCAAAGTTACACAAGCTCTACACTACGTCACATGCGTGCTTACACACAAAATCAATCATAGAGAGAGACCAGTCTTTCCAACTTGGCAACTTTCTCACTAGATTTAGCGACTTTTCAAACCCTCTTAGCAACTAGCAACGACTCATTCAGACCAGATGAGAAAATAGGAGAAATATACTCCAGTATATTATTGTAATTTATTTCCATGCATGAAGCTCAGAGTAATAGTCACAGCTCTCCTGCCAACAGCACCAGGGCCTCTCCCTCTCCTCTTGGCCGTGTACAGGCATTCAGTAAGGTGGGACAGTAGGGACCTTCTCTCTACTCTTTCTCTCCAGATCTCTGGATTAGGGCGTTCCTATAGTTTGTAAATATGTATATAGTTCATTTGACCTTCTTTCTCACTCTTTCTCTCCAGATCTCTGGATTAGGGTGTTCCTATAGTTTGTAAATATGTATATAGTTCATTTGACCTTCTTTCTCACTCTTTCTCTCCGGATCTCGGGATTAGGCTGTTCCTATAGTTTAAAACCTATATATGTTTGTTTAAAGTTGTAAAATGTTTTTCTTTTTTTGGTTTTATCCTCCCTTTGTAAATTAACTTTATTTACCTTACAAATATAGGATGTCCCTGTAGGGACTTTGTGATTATTTGGGGTAAATAATAATATTTAGCTTCTAGTTTGTTTGAGGTTGTAAAATGTTTTATTTTTGGTTTATTTTTGTCCCCTCCCTTTTTAAATTAACTTTACAAATATAAGATGTCCTTGTAGGGAGTTTTTTGGTAAATAATAATATTTAAAGGCCATTTCCGTGAACTATTCAGAAACAGGTTTGCACTTGCACTGCAGCTTGCAATAATGCATTTATTGATTGAGCAGTTAGAAACAAACAAGAGACTCAGCAAGTGACTTTAAGAATAATGAAAACGGACTGTGGCCAAACACCACGGGTTTTAATATCCAGATAAAGGTGCAGGGAAGTAGCAGAAGTTCAATGGCAGAACAGAGAGTGATGCAAGTTACTGAAACAAAGCTATTAAATTGTTTTTATTATGTAGAATTAAAAAAATCTATTTGGGACAATGGTTGTTAAGTCTGGGACAGACTTCCTCAGGATACTGAAGAAAAAAGTTAATTTCCCAACTAAGATTTCTAAAAGTGAATCATGCTTTTGAGAAGGCACTAATAGAAAAATGTCAATATAATAATGCTATTGGATGAAAACAGGTTAATTACTGAGAAATCATCAAAATCAGTTGTTGTATCACAAGTTAGCTGGTAGACAATTAAGAGGATAACATTACCTGGCTAGCATCATGTTAGCCTGGATTATTCAAGCCACGATATCTGTTTTACCAGCTTTTTGAAGCTTCAGTGGAAGATCTAAACCTCCCTGCCCTCCCTGTTTTTTTTTTTTCTTCAAAATAAGAGTCTCATGTGGAAGCATTGCTTTCAAACAGCGCTTGCAGCTCGTGCTAACAGACCTAGGTCATGACTGCACGAAGCTGTGGTTGTGAACGCTGGTTTGAGGTCAATACACCCTGCTGACATTGAGCTGGTAGATAGCAGGAAAATCTGTTGACAGTGTACTTACACAAGCCCACAAGTTGAAGACTGTATACAACTATTTGTCTAAACAGCACATAATCACTGTTGAGATACTTTCCTAGCCTTACACATGATATTTGAACTTTTACTTCTCAATGAGTTCCTTTTACTGATCAAGTACCAATAGGCCCACTGTACAGTGTTGTATTTATGCAGAGGAGTTGTTTCACATATTTCACTGTTAAAAATCTTTATCTTATTAGACTGTAGCTTTCACTTTGATTTATTTTGGTACTGTGACACTGATAAGGAATTATAGGTATATTATAGGCACGGTAATGTGTAACGTAATATTCCAAAAAGTCAGGGTGTTGAATAATTTATTGGACAGTTTTCATGACCAATGTTGGTCCAGATTTTCATTCATTGTGGTTCATTTTTAACAGCTGCTCTCAGAACATAACAATTGTGTATTCTATTAAAAAGCAAGGATTTCAGATGAGGATCTCTCACAATTCCTGTGTATACTTTTACATACATTAGTCATATGCTGTTTATCAAAAGCTACACGCCCATGATGCTTCCCCTCTCTCCATGCTTTATATCTTAATGATGTTTAGTAATTATATTGAGGACTGACTCAGCTTAACAGGGATTAATACATTCTCTTTCCATTTCAGGTGGAAGAGAGCATGCACCTATTGATCACAGGCCCTAACGGCTGTGGGAAAAGCTCTCTGTTCAGGATCCTCAGCGGCTTGTGGCCTGTTTACGGCGGGCGGCTACACAAACCCTCTCCTCAACATATGTTCTACATCCCTCAGAGGTATACACACACTTTCACACATTGCTTAGTCCCACGTGTCACAGCAGTGAGTTGTATTGAAGCAACTGTAGGGTTTGATTGTTGAACCCTACCAGTAATCTAATCCATTGTAACAGAACCTCTGTGTGTGGGGCTGAGAAAGAGAAACCAGAGCTCAGGCCACAGTGAAATATTTACCACTCAGACAAGGCTGATCTTTTTTTATTATACTTCTCTCTGTATCATTTGAGAGTAAGTTGAGTACCGTCAGTGTGACTGAGCACGGCTATCAAATCAGACATGTGTCCCCACACTGCATCTTGTGCTCCAGTGATCCGTGATAATTCTTTGTTGAGCGATTAAACCCTAGTAACTAGAATTTTCCAAAGCGTCAGCAATATTTTAGGAATAAAAAGCACCTGATATTTTATGGGCCCGTAGACTGATGATTATAAGACAAAGAAGTCACTTTTATATAGGTTTATAGTGGCTTACTCTACTGTAAGGAGTACATAGAATATAAAAACATTTTAATGTCGACATGTATATATAGTGAAGGCTTTGATTACTATGGGGTTTTCTTGGCCCCACAAAATGATGCAATATATGAAGGAATCAGAATGCATGAAGCAGTTGCAGAATGTAAACATTTTTTATTTTGCAAACTGCAACATAGTAAAAACAGAACTTAAAAATAAAAAAGATACTACTTTAACAGTGCTTTCTTTCCGGGGCTTAACAAAGGCCAAAAATATTTTTTTTTCAAAACAAAATACTTTGAAATGGTTGTAGAAACACTATAAATTGACATGAAATACTTAAAATATTTAAGTATTTAAGAGAATTTTCTCAAATGTTGTATTGCACAAGACACAAATGAGTTACAGCAGTTGTTTCAGCAATATGTTCCTATATGAAAAATCCAGATATCAACCAGCACTATGTTAATTAAGAGAATAAACAGATTAATCAGTGGTGAAAATAATTGTGGACATAAATGCTAGTCTCAGTAGTGCATGGTAAAGAGATTATATTTAGCATCTATTGATGACACATGGGTGAATGTGGTGTCAGTGGTCTCAACTCTTAACAAGTAAGATGATCAATTGTTCCTCTCACAAGGTAGCAGCAGAACTGTAGCCGTTAAACTGAACTAAAACCAGTCAAAGACACACCATCAAGTGTAATCTAAACCCAGCTACTTACAGCAGCAGACTCAGCTGACTCCCTCCCGCAGAGCGGTGAATATTTTATGTATAGGATGAGACAGCAGCCTGCCAGCTGTAACAGAATCCAACACACTGAGTACAATAGAAACAGCAGAAGCACAATGGGTGTCTTCTCTTTTCGTATTTGTTCCTTAAGTGTGTAAAAAGATGTGCCTCTTTGTACACACACACCCTCTTTGCCAACATGTTCTTTTCTTTAGTGTCCAAAGCACTTAAATGAGGTGTTAACAAAGGAATACTCAGTTGATAAGGTGTGTGTGTGTCTTTCTTCAGGCCATACATGTCCATGGGTTCACTGCGGGACCAGGTGATCTACCCAGACTCAGCGGAGGACATGGCTGCTAGAGGCCTCAGTGACAAAGACCTGGATGCCATCTTGGACATAGTCAACCTCAACCACATTGTAACCAGAGAAGGAGGTAGGACAGTAATAAAGACAAAGATGTGGAGCTGTGTGTTTCAAGGGAAAGTAGGAGATTGAAGAACTTACAAAAACACATAAAAAAAGCTCAAGCAACACTTTGTGACAACTTAAACCTTCCATCGTCTAAACAACATCTACAAAATAACCATTAGTTAGCAAAAATAACTGAACGAAAAAGACAAAATAACCAGCATTGAAGAATTAGGTCACAATTAATGTATGTTAATGTAAAGAATTTTAATTTCTAACTTTCAAACCATTTAAACATTGGCAAAATGTGTACTGCAAATTGTAACTGCGGCACAGTTATGCCGGTGTTTTGAGATAAAACAGACTAAGTTATGTATAGTATGTGTACCAGCACCAGAACTTGATGTTATGCATTAGGGTATTACTTTTATTGCCTAAACTTAAATCTGTGGCTAATTGGCAGCCACTCTCCTCTCATTGCCAGACAAACAGACCTATTGTTTTGAGCCAACTACTGTAGAGAGCTTAGAGCTCCAAGAGGCTTTAATTTATGAATGGCTGCACTGTGAAAATGTTGAGAAAGGTCTTGATCGCACAACCAAATGAGCTCACTTATGGAGGAACACATGCATTATATCGGCAAAGGATGTCCTGTTAAGTAAATATCACACAGAATGCTGTACCTATACCGCTGAAGCCTTTTAACAAACATCAGTAATGGCTGTAACAGTCTGTAGAACATCTCTGTTTACATTTTAATTATTCATTACATTGCTCTATTAACTGACTATTATATTCCAGAGTTTCCTCTTCCATAAAATATTACTATGCACTTTCTTTGACTGGGATTTCACTGGAACATTCCTGTGCCCCAGACATCTCCACCCTGATGTGGTTAAAACTGGGAAAATGTTTGCTTCCAGCATCTATAATCCCAAATATATCACTATCTTTAAATAACCTCTTTGTAAAGAGTGTTTCTAAGCTTATGTGATGTCTTCTTTTGCGTCCAGGCTGGGATGCTGAGCTGGACTGGAAGGACGTGCTGTCTGGAGGCGAGAAGCAGAGGATGGGCATGGCTCGCATGTTCTACCAAAAGTAAGGAGAAGCAGAAGATTGTTGTCTGGCATTACACTGAGCCCAGTTTACACTCAACATTACCACACCTGCAGTGCAAACTACACACTTTACTTCTTTAAGCCTGTGTTAGCTATGCTAGTGGCTCTAGGGATGCCAGTGTCTTTGTTGGTCCACCACTTTGGTCCAAACTGAATCATCTCTACAGCTATCTGATGGATTGCCATTCAATTTTATACAGACAAACAGATTGCTTTGGACTGAATTGGGTGATCCCCTAACTTTTCATCTAGCGCTACCATCAGTTCAAAAGTGTTTGTCTACTACTTTCTAGGGTTGAGTGTTAATTAGCAAATGCTAACATGCTAACACATGAAACTAAGATTGTTAAACATTAGGGATGGAAATCAATAGTTGAGATCTGGTTCCAAATTGTCTTATGCATTGGAACCGTTTGCCTAACAGCTTATCAGTTTCTTATATCAATGCCAGTCTGATGTCAAACTCGTGCTGGAAACTTGCAACAACAAGTCGTCATGGCGAGGAGGAAGAAACAGTCTAAAGTGTGGCTGCATTTTACAAAGAAACTCTACTCTTGTTTTACACTGCGATAATAAAACAGCTGACTTGACGCAGAAAATCGGATAAGGGATCAATAAGGGAGTCAAAAAAGAATCAGACTGATAAGCAGAATCGATATATTAGCATTATCATTGTGAGAATGTTACCATGCGAGTATATAGCTCAAAGTACATCCTCACAGTGCTGCTCAAGTGGCTGTAGAGTCTTATGATAGCAATTGTTAAAGCTACTTCCCTGTGTATTTCAGGCCTAAGTATGCGCTGCTGGATGAGTGCACCAGCGCTGTGAGCATCGACGTGGAGGGAAAGATTTTCCAGGCTGCCAAGGACGCCGGCATCTCTCTGCTCTCCATCACACACAGACCCTCCCTGTGGTAAGACACATCCTGCACTACGTCGTCCAGTCTGTTCAATAAACGAGACATTAACTTGGGATATATCACTCTCTCCAGAAGGGTGGTGCAGAGTAGCTCAGCTTTTACTCACTTTTTCAACCCACCATAAAGTTGTAAAGTCTGCATCCGATTAAGTGTGTAGGCGTTCTCTACTCTCCCACTTTAAATCCTTCCTCTCCGCCCCCAGGAAGTACCACACCCACCTGCTGCAGTTCGACGGGGAGGGAGGCTGGCGCTTCGAGCAGCTGGACACGGCGACGCGCCTCTCCCTCACCGAGGAGAAACAGCGGCTGGAGGCCCAGCTGGCCGGCATTCCCGAAATGCAGCATCGCCTCAACGAGCTCTGCAAGATCCTGGGAGACGACTCTGTCCTCAAAACAGCCGAGGAGTGAGAGAGAGAGAGAGAGAAAGCAAGGGAGGGAGGGAGGGAGGGAGGGAGGGAGGGGAAGAGGCCCAGAGGGTAAAAGAAGAGACGAAGTGGGGGGAGGAGGAGAAGAGAGTGTGGGAGACGAAGAGGCAATGAAAGAAAAAGAAATCTGTAGGGGGGTTTGTTTTTTTGTTTTTTTCAGGTTTAGATTCTTTTTTTTTTTTTGCTTGTTTAGATTTAAAGCTTTAATGCCAGCTAGTCTAGTCAGCTCTCATTTTCTCCTCCTTTCTCCCTCTTCTTTTATTCTCTCCTTTGCCCTGCTCCAAACAGACGAGTGGAGAGGGAGAGTGAAGCTGATTCACCAGTATTATTCCCCCTTGTTACGCACATCGACTGCATATACTCAGCTGTAGATTTTTAATTGTTTGCTTTTTAGTGTCATTTTCAAAGGTCAGCTTGCCACAGTTCACAATGGCAAAACTGATAATCAAGATATTTTGTTTTGTTTGTTTCATAGCACTTTACTCTGCTTTTAGAGGGCTGTTTTTGTTTGTTGTGGTAGCTCACAGTGAAATAATGTGATGGCTGCATTTTAGCTGGAAGACTTTTAATACAGAACCACTAGATAATGTCCAAAGCAGTATTCCACGCCCGGTATACTGGGTTGTGCAGGAACCACGTTTGTCATAATTTAGCATTAGATTTTAGTTTTTAACTGAACCTAATGCAACTTCTTAGTTTTGAGAGGTCGAAAAGAGACTATTTTTCAAAACGTCACAATATGCCTTTGTTTGGTTTCGTTTATCTAGCCGCAGTACAATCCCTTTCCTTATACCTCATCGTAGCCATTGTTAGGTTAATGCAGACCCTTGAACCACTGATATGGGCTCATTGGCAGACTTACACAAAGATCTGTGGTCTATTATTAGAGCGATTAGTGACGCAGGGCTGACTCGAAAACTATAGCTTTCTGGTTTATTGAACAAATACAATGAGCGGAAGAGGCCCTCTTCAGGAGGAAGCTGATCCTGGTAGTCTGTCTAGGAACAGTCATACATTTATAGAACAACAGGTAGATACACGCACACACACTGGCCACCTGTTGAAGCTCTCCCCTGTATTGACACAAAACACACTCACGCGTCTGCCTTGTGTCAGATGCCTGCTGGGACTCTGCTTTGTCAGCAGTGCTGATCATGCTCTGTGGGTCCTTTTGAGCCTGCTTACATGCACATGATCGGTATCAGACAATGAGCTAATGCATTATTCTAATTTAGTCAAAGGAGACTTTATAGAAATTTGATGATGAGTCTTTATTTCTCACCTTTCTAAAGCTGATTATCTTTTAATATTTTGAAGTGTGTTTACGGGCACTTAAATATTTTAGATAATACTCCACATTTTATGGTATAATATGTGAGGCCTTATTGGGTTAGAGGTCAGGTTTGATTTTATTTATGGCTCAAGGACACTTCAGCTGTTGGTTGCCTCTCGACTAATGGCTGGCATACATCTTGGCTACTTTCAGGACCGAAATTAGATTGTAGCCTCCATGTTTGTTACCAGCAATTTATCTGAAGTTGTGATACTGTGAAGTTAATGATTTGTTACGTTGACATCATTTTGTTCTGTTGAAAAAAAAAAGGTCATAAACGCTGGCTGTGCTCTCCTGTGGTGGTTCTAAGCTTCGGTCGTGGCTGCTTTTTTACGCTACATTCCTTCTGTGGTTCAGACCTGTGTGTGTGCTTACTGCATCCCGCATAAGGAGTCAGAGGAAAAGTAAATTAGGCGGACGTTTGCCTCCCAGATTGTGCAGAGTGAGACAGGATCGTGTGCAGAGAAGTTATGGTTGTTTGTGCCATTCATTCATAGTCTTTCAGATTTCACCATAGAGACAGAGTTATATTTTTGCCGTTTCATACATCCAATTGGGCCTAAAGCCTACCGAGCAATACGAATTATCGCTGCTTTTGAATAGCACAAAAGCACCCAGAAACATTAATATTTCTTTTTCGTTCTTTGTTACACTTTTAATCCAATGTTTTCTTTGTAAAATTCATTCACACAGCACCAAATAAAAGTGTGGAAGCACTTTAGGAACACGGATATGGTGAAATCTGTACATATTTGTATGAGTGGTCCAGCACAGCACAAACACGAGAATCACTGGACTTCTGTGTGTTATTCTAACGCTTTAATGAATACAGGCCTCGATCCTTGTCACTCCTTCAGCTATAGCGACTGGCACGGTGTAATATCAAGCTCTCGCACTGGCTATAATACCACTATTTTCTTATTATGCCTATGTTTGGTCAACACGCCACCATGTCTGTGTTGTAGAGAATGGACAATCAGTCAGTAGAATACAAACAAGTGCACGGCTATATTTCAAACTACACATTTGCTTGTTATCGTCTGCAAGGGAATAAATGAGTGAGTGCTGATTTTAGGCTAATAACTACACCCGCATCATCTAATTTGTTATGGAACTTATTATGTCATTTGTTGAACGTGCTTGTCAGAGTTTAGCGACTCCCTCAGGCCTTTTCTTAAAGCAAGCTGGGCCTGAATCCAGGATGTCTAAAAGTGCAGCATCTTGGTCCATTCAGACTTTAAACCATTGTAACCTCCCCCTTTTGGCTTTTAACGCACAGTTTAAGAAAAGGACTTGAGACGATTTGGATGCAGCCCCGCTCTGCTCAGGATGATGGCTGCTAAGTTACGGAAGGACAAACTTTGATTTCCCCCCCCCCAAAAGAAATGTGACTGGAGAAGAAAAAGAACTAATTAAAATTTTAGATGTCAATGCTCTGTGATGTAATATAATCTGGACTGCACAAAAATACTTCCGCTTTCATTCGGTAGGCAAGAGAGCACAGGCATTACTGTATTGGGCTTGAAAATGGCATGGCAGCCCTTTTCAGCAGCACACTGTGCTGCGGTTTCTGGCCTGAAATAAGTTATCTCTCTGTGCCATCAGTCAGACTCTGTTGACAGGAGGCCAGACGAGCCACCGAATGACACAGAGTCTGCAGAGTGACACTGGAACAGGAGGTCAGCTCAAGAGCAGAAATTCATAGGCATGACCGTAGCTTCATAGTTAAAACGTCGGAAATACTGTTATTTCACCTTAACAGGATGGTATAATAAATGATGAGGTGCCATTTTTATTTTGTCCTGTAATCACACTACAAAACTGAGCCTAACTGAGGCTGAATTCTGCCATTGGTAACACTCGCGAGTTGTAGGTGCTGGTTACAGGGATGAACTTTGTAGCGACGTTCAAATCATTTTTCCCGGTTTTCCCATCCCGCAGCTTTACTGCTTTGGTTTACTCTCAGCGCTCTCATACCTGTACACCAACATTACCTGCCCAGAAAGTTAGCGACGAGCTAGTTAACACAAGGCAAGTGGAACATATAGCTAGCAGCTAAATAGCCTGATATTTCCCACAGCGTTAAAAGGAGAGGGGATATTGGAATTACATGACTCCAAATGAACCGTAAAAGGCAGCTGTTTGCTAACAAGTTCGTAATATCAACATAAACGCATATGTTAACAGTTAGTACAGGTGTTAGTGTTAAACTTGTTTCTGCTGCCCTCAAGTGGCCAAAAATAGTTATTGCAGGGTAAATATTTCCAGATTTTTTAGAATATACTGCTGTGACTTTCCATTAAACCAAACTCTTTTTTTTCTTTGGCTGAAGTTTATCCTTGGCTAACTACAATGGAAAAAAAATATTTGCATTGTCTTATCTTTGAACGTGGCACCTCATCATTTGTTTCCCGGTTAGTAAACCCATAAGTGTATTATGACTACACCGTACGACCCTGCTATATACTGTAATGACATCCTTACTAACAAAACTTTGATACTGAAAGTTTTGCATTTTATCACCCCCTTTTGTATGTAAGAGATTGAATGTATCCATTATCTTTGATAAAGCATCTCTTAAGGTTTTGAAGACGGTGAATAAATGTGGTCCTAAAAGTTTCCCTATTGTTTGATAATTGATAATTTTATAATTGTGTTAATAGTGCATGTATCATTGTTTTATTAAAGCCACAGAGTGGTGTTTAAATTTGGATTTACTGTACACGTGTGTGAACTGGGATAATGGAAAAGAAACATGTTTTTTCATTAAATCTTGAAGCTTGAATTATCATGTTATTGATGTGGTGTAGGACAGTCAAATCATGTATGTATGTATGACAGTGTCACTGATGACAGAATGATGTAGGGAAGAAGACCATGAGTGCAACAGTTCTCGGGTTTCTAACTTATTGAGGGTGTTAATCATGTTTTTAAGATATTAATTAGATTGTCCTAGACCTCAGAAACAACATGCAGTGATTCTCCCTCAAAGCCAGGGATTACTACACTTTGTAGTTACAATACAAGTATGTGAAAGAAAGAATCTGTTTGCAATCAAAACACCCATACATATATCTATTTTATATTTTGAATTCCAGGTAGCCTGGGCTTCCTCTATTGGGATCTCATTGTGCATGTGTAGGAATCTGTATTCTTTAACCTTAGAACCAAGAGAGGTACATCGGCATAAAGGTCATCTTTTCAAAAATCATGGGCCTAAGGTCACTTTATGTAGAAAGATGAAGATGTATTTTCTTGTAAATAAAACAATACAGTGAAACCTCAAAAAAAAGTGCCATGTTGTGTTCGTTCTACACCATTTGAACTTCTAATACATTCAAATAATGTCTGAGTGCTTAGATTAGCTACAGGTTTTTGTCACAGCTGTGTTTCCTAACGTTGAGAAATGAATGTCATTTTATTTATAGCCCAAGTAGGTGGTTCATGAAAATAAAACTGTCTCAGCTAAAGGTCATGCCACCTCTTCACTCTGGGATATTCAAGCTTACAGTGTCAGGTCCAATACTAAAACACAACATTTTACACATGTTTAATATCTGATTGACAAGGGTTCTGAAACTGTTTATTGTCCAAGCCTGAGCAGAAACTGTGTTCCAGTTTTATATCACACACTAATTCTTATCAGGTTTTCACTGTTCACACGAGGAAAAGGGGAAAAAAACAAAGTGCAGTATAGTCAAAACAGCAAAGGATGCTGTTTTGACTATACTACACTTTATGTTTGCTGCTGCCAGCTTGAAAATATTAAACACATCCAGGAACAGCTATTAAAAAACAACTATTAAATCAAGATTGACTTTTTCCTATTTATAAAAACACATGTTGATTTTTCTGTGTGATAGTTTGTAGTAGTTAGTTCAAAACTGTATATAAGTAACATGGAAAAGGAAGTCTGTGAAGCCATCTGCTGGCGAGATCAAGACTTACCTACTTACTTTCTTCCTTCAATGATATCCGCAGTGCAATACTAAAAGTTGACCACAAGATGGCAGCATGGCCAAGTAGCAATGTTCATTCATTGCCATTCCTGGTATTTGCATACACCTACTGTTTGTCATCTTGTTATCAAATGATGCAGTGCTGGAAATATTCATATTACACATTAAAACAGAACACAGCTGGGTTCATTGTGATGGATATTATTGATTTTTGACATTTTTATTTCTCCGATTGATGTAAAATAGAATGGTGGAGTCTGATTGGAGCTTTCTCCAAAGATTTTTATAATATTTTTTTAGAAACTTCATTGAACAATGCACAACAGGGGATGTCAGACAAGTCTGCATATACATAGCACCTCTATAACTGTAACATAAATAAGATAGGATACACATTTATTGATCCCCAGAGGCAGCCTGAGGACAGAAATAAGTACAGATCAATAGATAAATAATAAAGAGTTAATAATAAGAGGTATATAAAACTAAAATGAGAACAGATATAAAAATATAAATTATACAAAAGTAATTGGAGGCAAAAAATAGAACGTATATGGGACAGTGCTGTGAGTCAGCAAGTCTTGTATATTTAAACAGCAAACACCTGCAAAAAATACAATATGATTAAGTAATGATACTAATGTTTGTCTGTATTAATATATAAATAAAATAAAAAGCTAGTATATACTGTAATATAACTATAAGTATAATATGGAATGTAAGATATAGTATAAGGTGAGATGTGTAATATAATGCAACAATACAATATCAAATATAATATGAGTGAGGTCTAAATATATGATAAATAATACATATAGTATCATATACAACAAAACATATACAGTTCAACAGAGAGACAATGAGGGACAGACAGACAGACAGACAGACAGACAGACAGACAGACAGATACAGTACAAAACAAACCAACAAAATCCCATAATATACACATTTATAAAATATATATAAAATGGATGTGAAAGATGTTAATGTAACTATTATTATTATTGTTGTTGTCATTATCAACCGGTGTAACCGGATTGGTCCAGCTCAGTAGGAGGAGTTAGTTACGTCCTCAGTCTTGAGAATCACACACCGAGTGGATCCTCGCTCTTCCAAACACACACACACACACACACACACACTCTGCTGCCGGGGAAAGGAGGCAGAGACGATGCCTGCTGAGAGGTGACCACCGCCGGATCCTGAAGCACATCCCCACCCACCCACCCACCCCTCCACTCTGACGATGGAAGGCAAATGAATCCGTTCATAGTAGCTGCTCCATCTCATAAAACATGGCTCCGGGGAGGAGGTGAGAGCGGCGGCGGTGGGAGCTCCAGATAGAAGCGCTTTCTCTCGGGAGGTGCAAGGAGGGAGGAAGAGGGGGGATTAGGGTCCTGTAAGAGGATAAAGGAAAAAAGGGAAACCGAGCTATTTTTTTAAGCGGACTGTTTGGACCCATCCTCCGGCCACACCATGAGCAGCGGGCCGGATGAGAGCTCGGTGCGCGTCTCCCTGAGGTAAGGATGCAGACCCTCCTCTTCCAAAGATGCTCCTGTGTCACACCTGCTACACCCAGACACGTGTGCTTTTATTCCCCCCTATAATTGGCCATATATTAATCCAAAACAGCCGCTACAGTGCCTCTAGTGCACCCATTCTTCTTATATCCCTTCATAACAACACCTCTCCTTTTCTGGATGGGCTCTTATTTTGAAGCTTTTGTTGTGTTTTTTTTTTTGCAACATGCATACTCTCCTCTCCATTCCCATGCCGGGTGCTGCAAATATAGACCAGTGGCCCACGATTAACATGAGCTTCTTTTGTTAATACCTGCTGCAGTGCGTGTACATGCTGTGTAGTGGATTTATGAATGGAGATCTCAGCTCTGAGGGATTAGGCCGAGGAAAAGCCTGTGACTCTTCCCTTACAGTGTGTCTCCTGTAGTCACAACAACAGTCTTTTTTTTTATTATTATAGAGGATCCAATGCTGTTTGTAATCCACATGTGGGCTGTGTTTGATCCATTTTGTTTTCAGGCTTTTTACGTTTTGCAATTTGTTGTGTATTTCAGTGGAGTTGAGGCGTGTTTGCAGTTGCTGTATCACACTGATCTGACCCTTGTCCTCTTGGCAAGTCCACGCCGTCACTCACGCAGCAGACAAGCTGAGATAGTCACCGTCTGGTCACCGGTTATATCAGCGCTTCTCAGAAGTGTTTCTAGTGTGTGTGTGTGTGTGTGTGTGTGTGTGTGTGTGTGGAGCAGTAAGACTGAACAAAAAAAGCCAATGAAATACACAACAAATCAATAAAGACATCAATAGAGGGACAAGATATAGGGCGTCAGCTAAGGTTGGGGGCAGGTGCTTTTCTGTGTGTGTGCTGGAAAGACAATCTGAAACGTCATGTGAACCGGATCAGTGGAAGACAGAGGACAAAAGCTAGTTCCTCTCATGTTTCTCCTCCCTCTCTGCCTCACTTGTTGTTGTGTGTTCAGACTTTGACCCAGAACTGTGTTTACTGAGCCAACTCGGTTTACTAGCCTGTCTCCCTCCTTCACAGATAATAAATAATCTGTCAGCATATCCCATCATGCACTTTCTTTTGTCTAGGGCTAGTGCGGTCTCATTAATAGGATTTCATATTGTAAGATTCTATTTATCTGGCTTCCTTAATAATGCAGCACGGCCATAGAGTTGCTGTCAGAGCTCACTGGACACGTTATGAAGACTTGTTAAGGTTGACAACATACAAAAGAACACATAAGCAGACATACATTCACACAAACTGTTGATAATACAAATCAGCCTATAGGGGTGTGTGTGTGTGTGTGTGTGTGTGTGTGTGTGTGTGTGTGTGTGTGTGTGTGTGTGTGTTTGTCTCTTTGAGTGGAAACTACCTTCTATTGTATCTTCTTAGAAAGCTCAAGCTTCATTAATTATTTGGAGAGCTCTGTCATCTAGGTTGCTAGTTGGGTTTCCTATTCCTATTGATGGTCAGTGGACTATTCATTGGTTCTTTCTTTCTTTCTTTCTTTCTTTCTTTCTTTCTTTCTATTATTCTGTTCACTCATTCATTTAACAGGAACCTTTTAACTTGTGTATGACATACTCTCAATCAGCAGACAGGGTATGGCCACAAATATCTTCATCCATCTTGAAAGGGTTGTGTGAGAGCTGAAGAAAGGTAACGATTGAAGTTAGGCAGGTAAAATGACTTTGGTTGAGTAAAGCGATAAGGATTTAGTCTGATAAAGATCTTAAATCTCGAGTCAGCGTCTGATTGTACAAGAGCGAGCTGTCCGGAGCCTCTTCTGAGGTCAGCTGTGGTCCTTGAAAATGCTTTGTCACTAATCTCTCTTTCTTTTACACACACACACACACACACACACACACACACACACACACACACACACACACACACACACGCACACACAAGGTTAGAAACTATCCTGACTTACCTGCGAGCTCGCTGAGCTCCTTAATCTCGCTGTTTCACACACCAGGCACCTTCTCTGTCTCAAATACAAATTCAAATTCAAGCGTGCCTTATTTGCATGAGTGAGTTAGACCTTTTTCACAGCAGACATTTTGACCCAACGTAACAAAAGCCTAGGTGGAGCTAAAAACAATAACGCTGGCTCATTTCCATTTAAGTGTCCAAGGAGGCCACATCAGGGAGCGAGCGTGCACAAAAGCAGGAGCACGGGACTGACATGTCAAAATATCTGCTGTGAAAAAGGCCTACTAGAGGAAAAACAGAACAAACATAAACCAGTGATACGATTAAACCATATTTTTATATTAACAATGGATCATATTGCTTATGTGTAATATGAAAGGTGTCGCTCAAAGTCACAATTATAACCTACTGTTCCCCTCAGCTCTACGGGGGTTTTTTAGCATCTTTTAGCTCATTGTTTTGGCTCATTGTCTACTTTTTCGGTTGTTGGGACTGTCACCACTCTCAGATGCTGTTATTAGCAACAACAAAAAAACACGCTAAGCTAACTGCCCACCACCAAGCCGCAGGCAAGGTTAGCTGCTAGCTGGTGAAACATAGTGGAGCATTTAGCCTCTAAAGAGCCAGATATTTGCTTCAAGATGTGGTGGAATACTAAACTAGAACTAAAATATAGTAAATATTGGGCTCAAATTGGCCAGAAACACAACCACAAACTAATACCAATGATGCTTTGCGTCTGCTGAACGTGTAGAACTGTTTGCTAACAGGTTCACTTTATGCGTTACTATGGTATTTCAATGTTTACATGTTAGTCTGCTGTAATCTGCAGATATATTAATGGGGTTGTTTGTATTTTCACCTAGGAGAACACACTGAATTGAGACTTCACACCAGCTAAATCCCTCAATCTGATGCTTTCAGAGTTATGTTACACCGATTTGTCTCTCTGTCGAGGAGCGCATGCCTTACGTTTACAGTAAAAACACATCGAAGATTGGCTGGAAAAACCATTGGAACATATTAATCTACCTTTGAATTGACTGTTACAACAAAGTTAGAAGTAATACAAACTGTACCAACAAAAGTGAATGTTGTGTTCTTAAGTTGACACAGTGAGTGCCTCCTGAATAGGGGGGTGGACACACCCTCTCATAAAATATATCATAGCAAATCATGTCAAGATGATGAAGAGGTATGCTTAAGAAAAATGTGTCACCCTTAACTGAAAGTTTAATTGAATTTCACCTTTTCATCTGCTGCTAAATCCCCGACTTCATCCCTTTGAACATCAAGCCACAGCTTCGTGTTGGTGTTTGCAGCTTGATTAATCGCCGTGGCAACATTCTAATTATTTTGGAGCTTTTAAAGTTGTGGTGAACCTAAACTTCACAACATGTGAAAGGCTTTGACTGTCAGCCTCTCCCCACGCTGTAATAGTTTAGTTAGCTCTGTGTGTGTGTGTGTGTGTGTGTGTGTGTGTGTGTGTGTGTGTGTGTGTGTGTGTGTGTGTGTGTGTGTGTGTGTGTGTGTGTGTGTGTGTGTGTGTGTGTGCGTGCCAACCACTACCTGCCTCAGCCTGTGAGGCTAATGCTGTCTGTTAGCAAGCCCCTAATCCCCCCCATCTCAACTGGACCAGGGTGATGAAATGCTTCTTTATCATCTCTTTTCTTGAGGTAACAGGCAGAACAAGAAAGAAAGAATTATTGGAAAGATGATGTAACCTTAAAAGTCTATATGCTCTTCAGATGTGTACTTACCTCCTGATGGATCTTCCGTAAGCTTGTTCAGATGTGTGTGCTGTGCTGCCATCTCTGGGTTTTGATGCTTTTGTTTTTCATGCCTGACAGCATACAGATGGGGCACTTCAAGTAGCACATTGGTGGATGATTCAGCAAACACACACACTCAGTGTTTGCTGGGTTATCCCCTGTGTCAATGTGCTTGTGTGTTTCAAATCCTGTGTTCCAGATCTCCGTCCTTATGTAACATCCCATCTGTGTGAGTGTGTGTGTGTGTTTGCGTATCTTGTAACCATATTCCATTAAAAAACAACATAAGAAGTTAACGATTTATCCCAGAAGTATGTCAGAGCCAGTCAGGTGACTTATTAGTATGTCAATATCCTTGAAGTGCAGCTTTAATAATTCAGGGTGTACAGCCAGAATTAGCCAGCAGTGAAGGATCAGGTTTCGTACTGTTAAGTTCAGAACATATAGCTCTTCCTCTTTAATTAGAGTTAAAGTGTTTTTAAAAGTGGAAGGCTGGAAGGTCATTCTGATGCATAAACTGGCTGCGTACACTTCCACATGAAATAGAGCATGCAGCATGTTAGTGAATATATTATAAGGTGGAATTATAGGACAATATGGATAAAATCCTCATGTTATTTTTTATGTAATATATATATATATATACATATATATATATATATATATATATATATATATATATATATATATATATATATATAAATAACTGTTTATGGACAAAATAACTGGATAAAAAACATCTGTTTTTGGGTAATCCAGCAAATGAAATACCTGATTAATCAAGTTACTTAGTTCGTAACAATGATTTGCATCATTGCCCCAAATGGTTTTATATAAATAGAGATTTATTTATTTGATTTCACCATAAGTCTCTCAGTATCAGTTTTGCTTTTCAGGGAGTCTTGGCTTCATATTTATATATAAAAAGGCATATTTACCTTGGTATTAGTGTGGCAAAGGATCTGAAATGAACACACTCATTATGTCTGATGGTTTATATTGTCATATCCCCCAATTATTAATGGAATAAGATAAATTATTTAAGGTCTTCATAATCTGACAGGCTGCAGTGGAATGTAAAACTAGCTAACTAACTAGCATGAGGTTAACAATAATAAAAAAGGAAATATTATAACATGTCAGGCACTTACCAACTTTACTCCTTTACTAATTATCCAGATTGTCTACCTCCAGTTGGCTCTTCTGACGTGTCTGTCAGACACAAGTCCCGCCCACTTGACCTTCTGTGGATTATGTTTGAGGGCAAAGGCTGTGCGCCTTCTGCC